CAGTCACCCGTATCGAACATGCGTGCGTGATTAGGCACCAAATTAACATTCCCAATCGCTCATGTGTGAGCGCCATTTTACCGGATATTCAAACAGATAGCTGTGTCACCCAGTCTACCAGGAAAAAAAGGGATAAATAATAGGTAAAATTATCCATAACTTTAATTACCAAAGGTGCATATTAGCACCCAAATAGACAAGGGGGGAATATATCCTCAGCATGTGGAAAAAACGGCAATTGCACGCATGCGCAGAGTAAACCTCTGTATATATATGCCTGAAATGCAAAGTTGCAATTTCAGGAGTGGTTAAGGAATACAAAGTGTTTGCATCCAGTGCAAATTGAACCAACCTCTATATACCTAATGGTAATCACTGGTGTGAATGGTGGCACAGGATTAAAACATATATAAAATGTGTATGATAAAATGGTCAGAAAAAATAAATTAATACAATGGTGCACATAGTACAACTGATGTGACTTAAAAACAACATGAATAATTTTATTAAAATGTAAATAAAATAAAAATAGGATAAAAATAAAAATAAACTAAAATAGAATTCGCAATGGTCATAAAACAGGAGTGATGCCGAATATAAAATATATAAACATATAGATTAAAAGTATATTGAATGTAAAATATTTAAAAATGGTAATGTAAATGTGGAAAATACTAAAAAACGCACCTATCAATAAATACGGATAAAATTTAACTGTTATCTATAAAACAATTAATATCCATCTTGATGTTGAGTCCCCTAGGTTGCATAGATCCAACCTCGAAAATCCATTTGGATTCCATCTGTGAAACAGCTCGCTTTTTATTTGTACCTCTCCATTGCGTTTGTACAACATCTAATCCCACAAAAGTCAAGGATGAAGGGTCTCTATGGTGACACCTCCGATAATGGTTGGAGAGGGAATGTTCCTTAAAACCACACTTGATGTTATACACGTGTTCGCGTAAATGGTCCCTTAGCCTTCTTGTTGTACGGCCTATATATTGCTTCTTACACAGGCACTGAAGCAAATAAACCACGTACCTACTGTTGCAGGTTATAAAATTATCTATGTTATAGTTTCTTCCAGTGGTAGAGGACACAAAGCTGTTCACTCTTCTTTTCTTTTGTCCATTACATGTGCATATCACACATTTATTGTATGGATAAAAACCAACTAGGTTATTAAAAAAGGAGATATTAGGGGGAGGATTGATCACATTAGGTGCTATTTTGTTACGTAAGGGAGTGGCCCTCCTAAATGTGATTTCGGGTTTCTCGGGCAAAATCTGCGCCAGTATAGGATCAGTCTTAAGAATCTTCCAGTTATTCCTTATGATCTTAGTTATAGATTTATATTGAGTGGAATAAGTGGTCACAAACAGCACATTTTTGATGGACGTGATTTCACCGATTCATTTAACAGTGAGTTTCTATCAAGATTAGCAACCTCCTCTAAAGTTAGTGTAGGTTCATCATAACCCTTCTCGATAAACCTATTTTTTAAGATGGTAGCTTGTTGATAGTATGTATCCAGATTGGTGCAATTCCTTCTAAACCTCTGGTATTGACCCTTTGGAATGTTAGAAAGCCAGGTGGGATGATGGCAACTATTTTTGGGAATATAACTATTCCTGTCGGTTCCTTTGAAAAAGGATTGTGTGACTATACTGCCACCATGATTCATAAGCGTGAGGTCCAAGAAATTAATACTGTTCATGCTATACTCATAGGTCAATTTAATATTCAAGTTATTGTTGTTGAGGGTTTTAAAAAAATTAATAAGTGCTTGTTCCTCTCCCTTCCATATAACTAAAATATTGTCAATATACCTTCTATATGCCCTGTAACAGTATCTCTGCAATGGGGAGGCTCTTAAGTGGTTAAAGTGAATCTAAACACTCCTATCCTTTACAGCCAAGGGATCTGCCATTTTAGCCTCTGTTTCATCTGTCATTGCCATGGTGCTGCACATGTGATCAGTTATGAGATCAGCTTGACAGTTTGATTGAAAGAAAACGCAACATTGACAGTTAACATTCACACAATGCATTGTTTTAGTAACAGTTAAATTGATTGATTTAGTTCTGCTTTAACTACTGAATCAGATTAACCACTTGCCTACCAAGCCAATTCTGACATTTCTCTCCTACATGTAAAAATCCTATTTTTTTTGTTATAACATTTTGTTATAAAATTACTTAAAACTTCCAAACCTTATATATTTTTTTCAGCAAAGACCCTAGAGAATAAAATGTGTAAAGGTTGAGCTCCACCGATGCTCAGTCTGCAACGGCCTCCCGTCACCCTTCTGAAGCAGCCACTGAACAGGGAGTGCTCTTCCCCGCGTCAGGATGCCCTCGCACATGGGAAAAATAGGGCGATGGAAGCTGCCCACACCGCCTCGTCCAGATGCAAGGCCTTCCATGCTGGATCACTTTTTCGCTAGGCTTGCATCCCCGACCTTGAGTAGTTGCGGAGGCCCAAGTGAGTGCTCTGTGGAGTCCACTGGGAAAGACACGGACACCCCTGCTGCCTTGCTTCCTACTCCGGTGCCCCTTCTCTGATGGTGGATATTCTGGAGGACAAATTGCAGGTATTTTTATATAATATCACCCACATTATCTCTGCTGAAATTGGGAAATTGGCCCAGGAGCTCAGGAGGGAGATTACCAAATTGGGAGACCGCACAGACCACCTTGAAACAAAGTTTGATGAATTGGTGCAATATGTGCATGTCCTGGAAGAGGATAATGTAAATCTGAAACTTTCCGTGACCAGTTAATGCTCCAACAGGAGGACCTGGAAAACAGGGAGCGCTGCCAGAATATTCGTGTTCGATGCATCTCTGAAATGGTCCCTGACTCCCAACTTAAATGTTACTTGCTGTCTCTGTTTACTACACTGGCCCCCAAAGTCCCAGATGTTGATTGGCACATAGACTTTGGCACATAGACTGGGCCCATAGATCATTAAGCCCGAGGCCTCCTGAGGGTACTAGGCCCAGAGGCGTTATCATTCATTTTCATTACTTTGACAGCAAAGAAGCCTTGCTCTCCTCCATCAGCAACAAGACCTCCCTGGAAGTTAGGGGGGCAAACTTCAGATTTTCAGTGATCTATCCCCCATTACTCTGGCAAAGAGAACTGTCTTGAAGTCGGTTACCACTCAGCAGCACTGTATCACTTACCGGCGGGGATTTCCTTTTAAGCTTGCTGTCTCCAAAGATAATTCCCAATTCCCAATCTACACGAATCGGATTCCTTCTTCAAACAGTTGGGACTTCTTCCCCTGACAGAAGAGGCTTTTTTGCAACCTCCTACTCCATCCAGGTCTTCTGCTACTCCACACAAGATCTGGACACCTACTAAACCCAGTAGGAAGAGGTTTCCACGCACTCCCCAATGACTCCGACTTCCTGGCTCACAGGGCCTCACCATCTGACTCTTTCAGATATCAGGTTTCTTGTCTTGTTAAATGAGCTCTTATCCTCCCATGTGTGCCTTAGGAACTTTCTATTGCCCCTCCCTCATTTGTATGTCCTGATTACAGCTGTTAAGTGGTTAACTGAGGTAGGCACCTGTCATTTAGGGACAGCTGTCTTGTTGCCCCTTTATGCGTCAGGCTTTCAGCCCTGAGTCTGACGACTCGGAACATCTCCAATATCCCAAGTACATATCTTTGATGATATCTTTGTTTCTGGCCATAGTCCCTGCGGCCTCTGTTCTGTGTGATACATTTGTTGGCACTAGGCCTGTTGCCATGATAATCACCTGGTTCTTTGTCTCTGTTGTTTTCTGTTTTGTCTCATCGATGATAATTTTTCTGTATGCTCAGGTTGCACAGCTGCTATACTCATTACTGTCTCATGATGACTTTAAGGCTGTTGTTGTATAATGTCAAAGGGCTCATTCAGTCCAAAAACGGTGGATGGTTCTGAAGGTGTTCAGATCCTTGGGAGCAAATATTATATTCATTCAGGAAAACCATTTCAAACAGGATGGCTCTTTCGTTTTGCCTCCAAGAGCTTCCCACAATCCTATTCAGCCTTTGATCCCTCCAGGAAAGCTGTAGTAGCTATTTTGAACTGCTCCCTGAGTGTCTCCTCCTCTCAAGTTGACCCACATGGTCGCTATGTCTTGTTAAAAAGTATGTATTAGGGCTCTCCGTTTGTACTTTTGAATCTGTATGCACCCAACTCTGGTCAGCTGTTATTTCTCTCTCAGACTCTGGACAAGTTATGTTTGGTATCTACTTCATGTATGATCATTATGTTTCCCCACAGTTATACGGGTGTTTCTCCCGTATGCTGGTGATGTGGTGAGGAAATTGGCACTCTTTTTCAAATTTTCTGGCTTTGCCAACACAGTACACCTATCTGGAGCGAGGTCCTTAGCCTTTTGCAGCTACTTTTACGGGTCCAAATCTCATTTGATCCCATCCACTTTTTACAGGGCCTGCCTTTTACAGGCCTCTTCAAATATGCCAAGATGCTATCCTCTCATGTTTTAGCAGAGGTCAGGAGAACCATTCCTATGCATTGGCTGTCTACTACACCTCCTACGCGGTCGGAATTGGTGAAGGTTATCGCTGAGCTTAGAAGAATGGAGTACCTCACTGCTATGCATGCTAACTTTTCTGAAGCAGTTTGGGAACCATGGGATCTTTTTGTTTCCTATATGTCTACTCAGATGTCTGATACTGCTGGCTAATTCATTGTTATGCACTGACATTGTCTGTATATGCACTTCATCGATTAGCCTATTTAGTTTTGTTCTTACATTGATTCGTGACTGTTATTTCACAACTCTGTGCAAATCTTTTTTTTGTTGCATGTCCTTTAAAACCCAATAAAAAATAGATTATACAAAAAAAAGTAATCCAACAGCTGCGTAGCCTCTTGGATTACTTTTATGCAGGGGCGGACTGACCATTCGAGCACTCGTGCACTGTCCGAGGGTCCGGGGTCAGTAGGGGGCCCCATAAAATGCCCCTGGTACCTTTTATAGGCTTTTTTGGGTGTGTTTTGAGTGTGGGCAAGGACACAGGGGCCCCATGATCCCCAATTGCCCGGGGGCCCCTTGAGTTGTCAGTCCGTCCCTGCTTTTGTGTGAAACAGAAATGCCTGCAGAAAAAAATTATAACCTCAACCATGATCCTGATATAATCGCTTGAATACCAGGCCATATATATATACATATACATATATATATATATATATATATATATATACACACACACACACACATACATATGGTGGTATTGAAGGAGTTAAACAATAAACTGAAACAAGAGTAAAATTAAATATCCGATTGGTTGCTGGGTATGACATTTCTTCTATAAAACAATTTCAATTATAAGATAATCTGTACCATTGTGAACCCTCATAAAACGTATATTAAAATAATTTGGGGTGAAATACAATTTGGGATGAAATACAATCTAAATCAGTTAATTATGCCCTATGGAGCTAAATTTTTGTGTACTGCTAATGGGTAGTCATTTAATGTACAACTGTATAACATGAAAATATAACTTTCATTATGGATATTTCAGCTAGCTTGTTGGGGAAATATTAGCTTTAAATTTGGTCATGATACTAATATTAACCCACTGCTATGTGCCTAAATAAGGTGTAACTGCACCTTTAATAAGTACAGAGAGTGCAAAACACATTAAAACTGCTTAAAAAATCCAGCTTATTAAATATTTTCTTTGAAAAAACAAGATATTGTTTTTAATAAATACAATTAGAATATCTAGTAGTGCAGAACATTCAATTAGAATATACAAACTATAAAAAAAAAAAAAAAAAGAACTTTTTAACAAGCGCTAACTTGTCGTTTGGTTGCCATAACAATGTAACTATTATTATCATGGCTAAGGAAAGGTACAGAGCTTTCAATCCCTGCCGTGTTTATTAAAATTACACTGTCAAAAAATTTAATTGTTGAAAAAAGATGCCCGTTAAGAGATATAATGTATACCTATCTTGCTGCCCGTGTCAATGATATTTTCTCTCTTCAAGAGTTACAGAGCTCAAGAGAATCCTCTTCATCTGACATACACTCAGAAATGTCATATTACTGTTCCCTTTTTAAGTGCTGTACTTTCTTCCATCAGCCCCTGTTCACTGCAGACCAACATAGTGGTGTAGAGGCCAAGATAAGGAACAACTTGGTGCGAGGTCAGGAATCTGACACTCCTTGAAGTTAGTGCCCAGAGGGGATTCTAAGAGCACTGACAGGTATGTACGAAGGGCATTCAAGTCAAACGGGGACTTTGGAGTTTTTATATAATAAAAGAACAAATTGCAAGGAGTGAAAACTGCATTTATTTATTAACATACTCCCCTGCTACATTTATATATTTATCCCAGCATTTAAAACTAATGCCTGGGAAGGTTCGGCATAAAAGATTTGTCAGTACGCCTGAACCATCCTAGGACAACCTGCTTCACTTCATCATTAGTGGTGAAATGCTGACCTCTGAGGGACTTCTTTAGGGGTTCAAACAGGTGGAAATCACTTGGAGAGAGGTCTGGTCTGTAAGAGGGATTTGACAATACCTCCCAGCCAATTTTCTGTAATGTGCACATAGTGAGGTGAGCAGTATGAGTTCTTGCATTTTCCTGGAGAAAAAAAGACACCCTTAGTGATCAAACTGGGCCATATTTTCTGCAGACACATATGCACATCACTCAGAACATGAAAGTAATATTCAGTGTTGGCACCACAGGGTAGAAAATCCACAAAACACTTGCCCTCACTTTACCTACAGACGCAGTTGTTCGGAATGATTTTTGGTGGTGGTGAGTCCACATGCTTTCTCTGCTTTGATGCTCATTTTGATTCTGGAGTGAATGTTTACAGGGATGACTTCTGTGGCCTGGGAACCACCATTGCCGGGACTGTCACTGATGGACGCATGGCCATCTTTGAAACGTTTACACCACTCAAATACTGAGCATCTCATCACCATGTGCTTGAAGTCTTCTGTAAATATCCACAGATTTTACATCTTCATTCACCTTTGAAACTTCATAACCACACTCTGTTCCATGCATGCACTACCACTGTTATCTGTCATCTTGCTTAACAGTCTCTGGACTAGCCCATGACATGTGCACCGTCTATCAGTAATAGGACACACTTGCCACTTACTACTGTGCATAGAACCACCACACTACCATCCCTTTTTATACCTGTAAAATTAAAAGTCCCAGATTGACTTGAACGCCCCTCATATAATATCTCTTCTTCATTCATTTTAATCTAGCATATTGTCACTTTAAGAACACACATTAGCCACTAGTAGGAACATTTAAAATACCTAAATAAATAAGCATGCATGGAAACACATTTATATTAATTAAAAACAATGATGAAAATCATAGATATTTTTGCTCAGGGCATGTACCAGCCAGTTGCAGGATGAAATCATTAAGAACAAAATTAAACTCTGCAACACAAAGCAAATAATCAAACTGGATCATCTCCTCATCACGTCACACCATTATTAAACTGCATTTGCTGAAATAACAATTCCTTTAAAACTTATATCTAGTGTAATACATCCTGTGGCAATATTCATAAAAGCATTAGACTCACGAATCAATATATACATTATATTTTAACTTTGTAGAGTACTGTAGGTAAAACAGCATCACATTATTTTTTGTTAAATATATGTTTTTCTCTTTTCATTGTTCATGTTTATTTCTCCCTGCACTGTACACTGTAGACTCTTTGCATGAACCTTTTGTGGATGTGTCCATGATCCAGTGGCATCTGCACATCATATCTTTACTGCAGAGACTACACAAAATGTCTTATGGCATTGTATGTTATAATGGCTGCTTAAAGTTCAATTCAGGAGCCAGGGCTTAACGCGGTGACGTATTTCCGGCGTGGCGGCCATCTTGGTACACCTGTGCATTCAGCTGTACACCCAACAGATATATCCTCATCTGAAAGCATGAGGTTTTTTTTCTTGGACTGGCTGCTACGTAAGTTGTAATGTAAATATGCTATATGTTCCTATGGTATAATTAAATATACTACACTATGGGAGGATTCCTTTGTCTCATTTGAGAGATTGACACTACAACTTTTCCTGGAGAAGAGCCATAGTGGGAATATTATACTCTGAGAAACCTGTCTTTGGAGTGTTTTGGTGCTTGGAGGATCTGTGAGAGGGATCCACTACTGCTCTTTGATCCGCAAGGGTCGAAGGGATGAGGTGAGAGGCTAATCCAGATGGTGGTTGGATTCTCAGATTTGTACACACCCAGAAATCTGCACGAGTTTTTTTCACCTGTGGTCACTAACAGTATTATTTGGAAGCACTGTTTACTGTTTTTGTCACCAACAATATATTTTTTGGACTTTGAGATATATGTTTGTTTGTACCATTATTATGGTTGTTTCACCTCACATTAGGCACGTGTGATTACATCATATATATGTGTAATTTTTGGTTCATGCACATATATATGGATATGGTTTTTGTGTTTCCACATGTTTTGAGCTATTTATTTGATTCATGATATTATCAGTGAGCACGTATTGATCTGTATTATTAACATTGTCACATTTTATTTATTGATATTTTGGGATCCCACATTAACATACCTTTATGATTTGAATGTAGCGCTGCATTCCTTACTTTTCTTATTTTATTTAATCACTGGTATATGATTTAATGCTAGCAGCTCCCATTGGGATTTATACACATATTTATTTGATGTATTATTTTTTAGTTTTTTAAATAAACACTTGGGAGCGCAGGAGGTTCACACCATCACTGTCCCAAGACATTTAAGTAAAATAATTTTGGTTTGTGTCTGGGGTTAGATACAATTTGCAAACTTTAATAACCTTAGACATACTGTATATGTCACGGTGTCCCCCTGGCTCTCCTTCATCCTTCCCCCTCCCTTCCCCTTACAGGTCCCTAAGTCCGGCACAAGCCTACATCAAAGGCTGTGCCCCATGTCAGAGATCTGCCCCCTGCGGTGTGGTTTGCACCTCTCCTCAGCCAGACTCTGAGGAGTCTCACACCCCGCTGTACCTGCACATGGATTTTCCACGTGCTTGCCACCTGGGTATCTCTGCACACCTCCCTCCCCTTGTCTCTGTGGGCACAGCTCGGTCCCCAGTTTCCCGCGCTCTGCGCTCGCCGGAGACAAAGGCCGCGCTCCCTGTGCACTGCCGGAGTGAGGGGATGGGGCGGGGCTGGCTGTTGCCGGGGCAACCCGGAAGCATCCTGCTCAAGGTGATAAAATTCCGGAGCAGGACCCGGGTAGGCAGTTCATCCCCCGCTCGGGACAGGGTGCTGTGTGAGGTCTGAGCTGAGGCCAGACCCCACAGCCAAGACCCTGCTGAGTCCCTGCAAGCCTGTTGGTCCTCTGCTCTTGAGGGAAGCACTGTGTGGGGTCTGAGCTGAGGCCAGACCCCACAGCCAGGACCCGGCTTCCCTGTTGGTCCCTTGCTCTGGATAGAAGCCCTGTGTGAGGTCTGAGCTGAGGCCAGACCCCACAGCCAAGACCCTGCTGAGTCCCAGTGAGCCTGTCTGCTGATCGCTGGTTGTCCCTGAAAGGCTGAGTACCACTAGGGTCCCTGTCTGCTGATCGCTGGTTGTCTCTGGAAAGTGATCCCTGTCTGCTGACCACTGTGTCCCTGGGAAGCTACCTCTGCCTGCTGACCGCTGTTTGTCCCTGGAAAGCTGCTCCTATCTGCTGACCGCTGTTTGTCCCTGGAAAGCTGTTCCTGCCTGCTGACCTCTGTGTCCCTGGAAAGCTGAGTGCTGCACGGGTACCTGTCTCCTGACTGCTGTGTGCCTCTGGAAAGTTACCCCTGCCTAAACCATGAGTGCTCAAATTCTCCTGCCTGAACTGCCCCCCTTGAATCCATATATTGCCCTGTCTGGACTTCCCCACTGAATGCACTCATGCTTTCCCTGCCTGGACTGCCCCATTGAATCTATTATCCTTGCTGTAACCTGCCCACTTGGATTAATACTTGCTCAGACTGCCTATTGCGTGTCTGGATTATCATAGCTACCTGGACTGCCCCCCCCCCCCCCCCCCCCGAGTGCTCGGGCCATCGCTACCCGAATCGCTCTATCGTAGGCCGGATTATAACTGTTTGTACTCTTCCCCCCTCTTCCCCCCTTTTTGGGTACGCTACA